GGGGGGGAGGGGGTGGGGTTCTTATACAGTATACCTTTATGTCACTAATTAATTTATATTAAACTTTGTATCACCTTTGATTAAAAAATGCCATGTCTTGAGACCATCAATAACACTGGTTTATGATAATGGTTGTTATTATCATCCATGTTATTAATAATTGGAATTCTAAGTTAAAAAATGAATTGTAGAATCAATAATATTATGATTTTAAAAAGGTTTTCTATAATATTTTTGAGGTGCTTTCATAAAAAATATTATATTTTTTGGTGAGGGAGATTAAATTAAATTCCCGAAACTATAGTTCGTAGACCAGATCAGCAATTCAGCTACCAAACTTCTGCTCAAGAGCTGTATGTACAATTTTTGGTTTTTAAAGTTTTTCCAAAGCAGCATTATTGGGTGTTTTTATCATTAATTTAATAATTCCTATTGATTATCATTCATTTTTATGCAATCTGTACCATTTTAATATTACTTTTATGGCTCAATATAACATACAATACTATTACTGCATGCTTACAATACCTTAGTCTTTTTTATATTAATGTCAGTGTTGTCTCTTATTTATACCTTTTGCAAACGTTGGGGTCTAGTGACAATTACTACGTACAAATTAATGACCAGTTGGCAGGGTGTACCAATACTTGACTGAACAAAGAGGTTTTACTATAATGCCAAACATACAGTGATTATGATGCCTAAATAATTGGTTTTTAAGCTTCATTTCATATATAAAATAAACAATCGTTTACACAGTTCAGATCACTTCAGTTTTTTTGTTGCCTACCAACCTGTGAACTTGTTCCGATGGATACTACTGTACAGGAGCTCCATAAATAATACTGTAGGCTACTGTATATTGTATGCTACTGAATTTTGTGTAGGCCTATTGCCAAGATTTGAAAAAAAATGTTAGATGTCTTGGTACTCTACTGAACTATTGCTTAAATTACTTGATATTCATGAGATTAGTTAACAAAACCGATTATTTCTGCTACGGTGTATCAATCAAGAAAGTAAGTTTTCTATAACTGCAGACAAATACTACACAAATCCTAAGTTTTTTGCCAGAAATATATGTGAAGAGTATAGAGAATTAGTTATATTTCGAACATATCTATTGAAGAGCAGAGTAAAGATAAAATATTTTTGCATTTTAATTTTCAGTAAAACTAATAATTATGTATTCTACATATGTGGCAAAGACAAGCAAAACCAGTCACTTGTCACAAAAATCGATTTTGAGTTATTAATACAGTGTTAAGAGAGTAAAATAATAGCTATAAAATGGTAAAAAAATCATTCAAATCGGACATTTCCTCATGAAGTTACAAGCGTTTAACCACACAGCTGTTTAAAGAACAATATATGAGAAATTCACCGTCAAAGTTTATGATTTCAGGCATTTCTCATGCAGAAACTATCTTTAAATCTTTAAAAAGTGTTGTTTTCACATTGAAAATGAGGAAAATAACAGCATAGAATGATGTGTAGATATATAAAGGTTAGTTTAGTGTAATAAAATAGATTTTTAAAAATTTGACATTCCAGCATGTTTTGGCCATTTTCTCTGAAACACGATTTGCGACAAGTGACTGGTTTGGCTTGTCTTTGCCACATTTATACAAAGTAATGCAAAACATTTTTTTCGTATCATTTATCAGTTAAGCTGTCATAACCATCCCCTGGTTGAATATACATGAATAAATCCTATCACAAGGGTCAAAAGGCCACCATATGTTATCATGCAGGGTTTCTCTTTCCCTTCCCCTTCATAATTGATCATCACAGTTTACTATCAAAGTTCTAGTCTTGAATCTATCACCTGCAGATTACTTAATACACAAAAAAGGTACTGTTGTACGTTTTTGGAGAAAATACCATAGGTGATCGGAGCTCCGAGCCATCTGCTGGCTACAGTAAATCCCACTCAGTATTAAATTAAATCCAATTAAAAAAAAAATAGTTTCTTATCAAGCCTTAATATTAAGTGAAAGGAAAGGAATGGTTTCTAAACAAGCACAGTACCTGTAGCTTAATGCTCCCGACTGTAATTCTTACAGCATACTTTTTATATTTTTTATTGTCTTGTATATACTGTAGTTTGGTTTAGCCAAATTTGTTTGTTGAAAAAAACCATCCATGGAGAATCAGTTAATGGACTTGTAGTCTATTTAAGGACTACAGTACTGTAAAGCATTGAATAGAAGCCCAATTGGCTTAATCTCGAGAAGCCCATCTCAAAAAGAAGTCCCCTTCTCAGTTTGCAAACGTAATCTAAAAAAGAAACCCATCTTCCAAGAAATATTGGGTTCTTTCGAGATAGTACTGTATTTGCATTCAGACTGACGTTGTCTTTGATAATTGTCATAGCGTGTCAGTATCAAACTACTGTAGCATGGTTAAAATTTAAGAATAATTAAACAGAATTTTGAATTTCAAACAGTAGTTGAAAAATGTTGTAGATTACAGTACTAAGCAATTCCAAAATTTGCAGCATTTATTTTGGAAAATGCCCCTTTTTATTTTGTGAAAGTAATCTTGAAAAGACCCATCTCGAAAAGAATCCCATTCAAGGATCCTATTAAATAAAAGCCCAGGGCTGGCATTTAAGGTTTTACAGTATTACTGAACTTCTGGTTTTTTGAATCTGGCATAAACAATAAGAAAATATCAACACCAAACAGATTGGTTTCTTTGCATTGCAGATCTTGTTGACCAGTTAATCAAATGATTTATGATGTGATATAATTCTACAATCAATAACTCTAATCATGCCACCCTCAACATTACCATAGCAATGTTGTAGGCCAACTGTAGGCTACAGCCTGTCAAAACTGGACCATACATTAGGAGTATCTCCTATTTTGGGGCTATCCTATTAAGAAGAAAATTTTATAATATTTTATTTTATAATATAATAACTGCCAACTCCTATTCAGTGAACATATTTTTTCGTCACAAAATTTTCTGCTTAATGGGAATTCTTCTGTACTGTATTTCATTATTTACCAATATTTTTTTAAAAATTTTATTTCACATACAAATTCAAAATATAAGGTAAATCATTCTTGAAACTCTAGTACAAAGCATTAACAAACCACAATTACTATACCACACCAAATATGGTATTAGCTGTAGTGTAGTTCAAATGAGTAGGAATGTAATAGAAAACCTCTCAATCGAAAAAAAAAAAGTTTAATATTTCGCTTGTTGACACAGTTTGCGTTACCTCCCACACAAAAACGTGCAAACAGGTTATTATTGTCTAGAATATTTTTATAGTTTCCTTCATATTTAACAAACAATCACTAAATAAAGCATAGAACAATGTTCTATTCTATCTGCATACTGCATGAGGCTTTGGAAATTTACAATTTATCAGGAAATCTTATGCAGAGAACATACAGTAGCTAAGTCGGCTAAACTGGTAGTAGTCTCTGTGTGACTAATGGGGATCATTTGGTCCCCGGTTCAATTCCATCTGCTCTTCTTGTGTTACACTAAGTTACAGCTGGACGGCTATAATGCAAGTATAAAAAAATTGCACCATCGTTCGTTTAAGCTCTTGGCAATTGTCTCATGTGCAATAATAAGGCCCATGTGCATGCTAAAGAATAAAGAACATTTATCAGAAGAGTAGGAGATTGTCTGCTCAATCACCACCAGAAGGACCCCACCGAAAACTGAAAGTCTTTTGTGTGTTAAGCCCTGTCCAGACTTATCAAATTTTATTTGACAAAAAAATGTGACATGCCTACATATGGTCATGATGACATCATATTTTGACCATATATAGGTACATCATGACTATATATGGGCATACAACAGTGACATATTTAGCTTCATCCTTTGGTGTTCACACAAAATAAATCCAATCCAATCATAAGACTCAGACTCTTGCAAGCATTTTAACCACCAGGGTTGTTAGACAGCTCATCTTAACAGAGCATTTGCTCAAAATTACAGGTTGTATTTACAACTTAAATTTGAAGGGCAATTCAACACTGAAAAATGGTTATAAACTATATGGAAAATGTCACTTTTCTTCTCAAAAAGAACATCAAAATATTTATATACTAGAAAAGGTGTACTTAATAAACATACAGTGAATTAGAAAAATAAATGCAGAAAAAATATTATGATTATACATGCTATATAATTCAATAGAACATTATAAAGAAAAATCAAAAGAAATTAAATTAAATTGATAAATTTTTACTCACCAACTCCGAGCTCAATCTCTGTAGTCTCCTTCTTTTCGCCACAATAATCCTTGTCTGCGATAAATGCAATAATAATGAGTATCGGGAAACACATGAATGTGACAATGGCCTCCCATAGTTGTACCACACCCTCAGAAATCACAGAAACGACAAGGAAAAGCCAGATGTATGCAAAGATTGAAAAGGATGTAGTCACCATAAATACTTTTATAGTTCGAATCCGTTTTGTTTGTCCTTTTGGAATTGAAACTATACAAACAGCTGTTATGACAAACAGGTTGAAAGCCGCAGAACCTACGATCGTACTTGGTCCAAGTTCTCCGGCGAAGAATTCATTCCCAACAATCTCAATGATAGATAGAAGAATTTCAGGAGTACTAGATCCTAATGCCATGAGAGTAAGGTTCGCCACGGTGTCATTCCATACTAGGATCGCCACCTCTTCGATTCCACCTGGCGCGCTAGGATTAGTGAGTTTGATCTTCTTTGTCTTGCTTGTAATAACTTCGATTGAAACCATGAAAATATCAGCAACGATAGCCACTCCCATGAAACTCCATAGCAGCGCCACCAAATACAAAAACCCCCTAAACCCCTGGTTCCAATCTTCTTCGCCCGGAAATAGCGGCAGAATCAGACCGGGGCAAGCCAATTGTTCTCCGCTTTCGCTCCTCTTAGGACACGTATCGTTCTCCATTTTGAGAAAATTGCAAAAAAATCACACTTTTATTAGAGCTTAGATGTAAATTTGGGGAATATACTAAAGAAGCAATTCAAAACATGTAAAAAAAAAAAGACTTTTCCAAACGCCTGCCAGTTTGTTGGTTAACCGGTAAGATGGCTGTAGACAACCTGCAAAAGAAATACAGAGAGTAAGTAAACTCAACTGGTTATGGTATAGTCTGAGTAGAACTTAAGTTATGATCTTTCTGTAGTATTAGCATTGGATTATTGTTCTGACCAATCAGATCAATGACTACAGTAGGTTAGCTTTTATCTGCTCTCATCCATGGAAGTCCCTGTAAATTCCACTGACAATTGCCGCCTACGCTGACTGCAGTACTGCTATGTAAAATGGGAGTGTCCGTCAAACTAACAGTTTTCATCTATGCTTTAAACTTCCTCACCACAAACTTTCTAAATTACTTCCTGAATGTCATAGTGGTTTTTCAAAGTTTTTTACATATCATATACATTTGTTAGAATTTTATTTCATTTTTTTCTGCAATGTTTAATTGTTGCTTCATGTTTAAGTCTAATTGATGTTTTTTGTGCACATTTTTTTAGAAATACAGGTCTCCCTCCAATTAAAGACAACTTTTGGGACTGGGGCTTCCATGGTCTTTAGTAGTTTTGGTCTCTAATAAAGATAAAAGACTTTTGTTAATATGGGACCACAGAAAAGTGGTCTATAATTGGAGGTGATCTTTAATTAGAGAAAGACCTGTAAGCTTAATTTACTGTAATGGGTTATAAAAAAAACCTCAAAAGTTCAATTAAAATTTGTAATCACTAATTTAAATTAGTGTAAATAATAAACCAATTCTAAATTCTCAAATTTATTAATTCATTATCAATGGATGCCTATATATTGTATATGGTATAATACCATCATGCATAGGTAAACGTTGGATTATAGCCCATAACTCACAGCATAACATCATTGTGCCGAATTCCATATGGACGTGGTCAGTGCCTACCTGGCAGCCGTAAAGAGGCACTTATAGATGTTTACATCATTCCACAATGACAGTGGCCGAAATTAACCACATCATCGGAGTAACACTCTACTCCTCTGAAAGATGCAATGGGTCCTTTAAAGTGTACAAAAGCCAGACGCGTATACTATGACCTCCATTTTCAAGTTTTTACCTGAAAAGACTTGGTCTACCAATCGAATCCCCCAGACGTGGAGGGGCTCGAACTAGTGCTGATGTTAAGGCTGTAGTTAGCAGCACCCCTGCCTACCGATTGGCCAATCGTTTCGCCATATTATGAGTTATTAAGTTAAATTCCAACCAGAAACGGAAAGTTCCTTGCTTCATATAAGATTCTTCAAATTGGTTACCAACCATATACAAATGCATACTGGAGGTATTCTTTAATTGAGAGGTAATTGATAGGGGAAATTTGTTCTCATTTAAATTCCTAGTTGTATTAAGTAATAACTCATTTCAATATGTATGCACAATTCAAATATTTAATTGATTTTTAGTACATCAGTGGCTGAAGGGGTGGCAAAAATTCTGCTTGGCCAACCCTCCCCATCTCTGTCTGTAGCCAAAGGTCCTCAATTTTCCCTCGTGGCCCAAGTAAAAAAAATCCTGGATCCGCCAATGTTGTGAGAATCATAAAAAAAACTAAACTTTATAATTTATTCAACATCAAACACATGGGCTTTGGGTGGGAGGGTGGAAAAATTAGTTCCACCGTGTCAAAGTACTAAAAATAATGATCAAGTTTAATTTTATTGGAATAGAGATTTTATTCCATATTTTCCACTTTCACCCCCTCCACAGGCAGTTTTGCACTCCAACACCTCGGCCAAAACCAGCATTTTCCCCTGAAACACCGTACTATAGTATTATTAAACCACCCCTAAAAGAGCATGAAAAAAAAAAAAAAAAATTATAAAACTAGGCCTACCTACACTACAGTATGTATTCTGGTGCTCTAGGGGGGGCATAGGGCATAAGGATTAACATTAACAAGGTACAATACATCCAACTCGCTTCTCCAACCAGGGAGTTGTTGCTCCAACTCCATGGAGGATGTCAAGCCATGGCAGCTTCCTACTACCAGGGAGTTGTTATCCCTGCTGCTACTACTACAGTGACACCAGGTAGGTGACACACGCAGAGTTCGGTAAATAAATTATCACAACAATTAGTGCCTAGCTATCAATGACAGAATGCACCCGACCCAAACCTAAGGTAAAAGCACCATGCAGACCGACCCGCAATTAATTTTTATTAAGTTAAGTTGCTTACCATTTGATATCCGATATCCACAAATCTATCGACAACACCCCGTCAGTGTCAACAATACTCACACATCAAGTACTGTAACAACAAAATGCTCCACGCACATCACTGCGTGCGGTTGAAGTGTGGGTGGGTGTGAGATACTTAAGCACCGTGTTGCTGTTGCTGAAATCAAAACAAACCATTCAAGCGGAACAAATCCATTCACACATGTGGAAGAAAGTAGTGCGTTAGTTGTCAATTAATCCAGACTTTTAAATTAACGCAAATGACTTTTTTTAAAAATAACAATTAATAGGTTAATTTCAATATTAAACATTTATTGATGAGGTTTAAAGTAGGTGCTTCAATATAAACACTTCCGTTGGACTGTTTTGACTACCTGTATAATATTAGCGTAATAATATACATAAGCTAATTATTTACAATGTATACAATATGATGAATAAAAAGCTCAATGAAAAGAAACTGTGGGAAATAGCATACAGAATAAGTCTATGTCAAAGTCAATGATAAAAACAGTAAATAGGCAGTAAATACAGTATGGTAACTATATGAGGCAAAAATATAGTACTGTATATCGTCCCTTATATAACGTAGTGGCGAATGTGGAAAAGTGCATTTTGAGAAAAACGCATTTAAAGATTTTTGAAAATAGTAATTTTTATTAGCATACCTTCTTTTTTATGAAATTGCCTAATTTTCTCTATAATTATAGTACATTGCCTCTTAAGCATAATAACGATTGGCTAATTAGCAATTCATCATTAAACTTATTCGTCACTTCGAAAAAAAATAATTAACGTATAAACTGCAGTAATTTCACATTCGCCACACATTCGCCACTTTGTGAAAAAAAAAAATCAAACCAACTAACATTCGCCACTGGAAATTCAAGCTAGTATGCAGGATTTTTGATGTGAAGGGCTGGGTACGTTTAGGCGAGCAAAGTGAGAA